TTGCTCCCTGCCAGATCACCATGCGGGGATCTCTGCGGGTGCTCCGTGCAGCTGGTGTGGCTCGTCTTGCTGCTGTCATTCTTGGGAGAACTTCCAAACATGAGAGGTGCTAACAGAGCCAGAACCCAAATCTGCAACGCCACATGAATAAATGCAAACTTGTTCAGTCATCTCTGTTCTCCATCTGAGATCGTGATGCTGTGTGCACCAACAAACTGATCTTGAGCAGTCTCTTCTAGCCTGAGTTAAGGAAAGGCTTCAAAGTCTGAACTGCAAAATGTGTCCCTCCGAGAAACAGTAGTCCACAGACCAAGATTTGGCAACAGTATCCTAGGGAGACCTGTTGAGCTTTTGTTAGTACAGTGATCTAAAACAGGCCATGCAGTGATTGAGTATAGGTGATATCGGGATGAAAGAAACCCTGGATTTTCCTCACACAGCTCACTGCTATTTGAGAGCTGCAGAATGAGCTGTTATCTTTGCCACCTGAGACACTCTGCCAAGTCCTGTTTATCTTTCTTCAATACACAGTCTTGCTGACCTCAGGAGATGGTGGATATGGTATAAGTAGGACCCAGGACTAACTTGTCGTCTAGGTCTTGAACTACTGGGCAGACACGGATGGGAGTTTGTCCATCTAATCATGTAGTTGTTCTCTGTACCCTTCAAAACTGTCAGAACAAAATAATAAAGGAAGTGGCATAGTAGTTCGATGAAACTAGGAATTTTCCAAGATCCTTCTTGTATGTTATTAATGATCATAATTTAAGCATTTGATTGTCTGTGGTATGTGTTCGGTGTTACGACAGCTTCAGGACATAAGGAAAAGGGAGAGGAAAAGCTGCTGCCTAGCTTAGATATTATTGCCCAGTAAGTGGAGAAGATGGCGTGAGGCAGGATTGCTGCGTTCAGCTCTGTTATGCAAAGGTACCTTGCTGTGAGAGCCGTGGCGAGTCACGTAGCTCCGTAGGGACCACAGTTGTCACAAACACAATTATAATGCCATGTAGGGAGCATCTAAGCTTCAGTTCCTTTTGGAACCCTTGTGTGAAATGTATTGGGCCACTGTTTACACAGGTGGAACTACCCTAAAATCTCGCACTTAGTTATGAGTTGAACTGCTGGAAGAGTAGTTCTAATTGGTGATAATGAGAGAAATTTCTCCAGTGTAGACAAGGTCTGTGAGCATGTCCTGTCTGGCACTGATTGTCCTAAAGTCTTGTCAAGTCTGAAGTTTAGCACTTCTACAGTTACATTAACTGTTAATACTATATTAAGTGGGTGGTCAGCTTCATGGGACCTCTCTTCACTAGAGTTACACTTCTAAATCTATATTTAGGAACTTTCATCTTGCCTTTATTCACACAAATGACAGTATTCAGTGTCCTTGAATCAAGCTGATAAGACACTATGGGTGTAAATAATTGTAATCATTTTCTAAAGATCAGCAGACAGAAAAAGATGTTTTAAAGAGGTTTCTGGTTTAAGGACTCTCAGTTTTACCTTTCAAAGGTGGCTATGGAACAGTGTAATTATTATTTTTCTGAAAGCCCTTGGAAACACTCGCTAAGATCACACGTCCTTGAGCCTGGGGCCTGAACACAGGGAGCAAAGGAAAGAGAGAAGGTCTTTGCTCCAGGATCCTGAAAGAAGCAAACCCAGGCCCAGCTCAGTGCACTCTTCACATGTGCCACCAGTTTGGCAACATAAGTCATGTCCCTCAGTCTAATGAATCTGCACAGCAATTCAGGGAGCAACTGAAGTGCAAGTGAAAACAAACATGACAAATTCTTCTGGGGCTTGTGCTGTTTGCTGGAGGACGCTGGCCCTTTCCCAAATGGATCTGCAATAAGGGCAGGAGTGCTTTGGACCTTCACTTCATCCCTTGTCTGCCCATCTGTCTCTGGCGAACTGCTGAGGTGTGGGCAGTGTACCAGAAAGACAGCGAGTGCAAAAGAAACAGGTGAAAAGAAGCTTGTCCCTTTATTTTTAAGTGCATGAATTGAGAATAAAAAAAAAAAATTGGCCAGAAGTAAGTTACATAACTGAAGCCAGTCTAAAATTATGTGCCAGCAATTTACATGAGTTTTATGTAACTGTTTATACTGCTGTTTATTTAAAAATTACTACTTATCTTGGCGACCGCAGCAACACATCGTGCATTTGCTCGCTCTGGAATACAGGGCACCTTCATTAAAACACATAGTCACCAATATATTAAACACAAAAAATCCCTCGCTCTGACATAACGTGAAGTGTCAGATGGAAACCCGCAACAGCGAAGACATTCAGCGTTCAAGACAAAGCCGGCCTTTCGGGTGCTCGGAGCAGCGCTGCCACGTGCTCCATCCTTAACTCACCCAGCAGCTCTCAGGTCCTTCACAGCACAGTTGGTTCAGTCTACAAGACCAGCTCTTGTTCCTGGGCTCTTACAAAGGGCCTTCTACATCCTCAAGTTTTTAGGCTTGAGCATTTTTATATCAAGTTTCTAAAAGGCTGAGGGTAGTCGGCCTTTTGTTCTTGCTTCAAGTGCCAGAACTTCAGAATTACGCAGATTGTTGGTATTTTTATCCTCCCAGAGTGCACTCTCTTGAAAAGTGAGCAAAGATTTGTCGATGCCTTAATGCTGCATTTGCTTGTGCACAACGTGACATCATGTTACATCTCGGTTCGCTGCAAGGGTAAGACCATGGGTGCGTCGTTTTCTCCAGGTCCCGGATTAATTAACGTATTAGGGGCTCTAAACATTCAGAGCACTTCTCTAAACGCAGGTGTTAGAGTGGAAGGGCTAAGAAGGACATGTGTGAAGCATAGGGCAGTAGTGTTTTCTGGTAGGTGCTTAGAGGATAGGATTCTTTGTGTAAACTACCCTAACTTAAATGTGCTTCTTGAACCCCCAGTCTATTTCTGGGTACTCTCCAGTCCACAGAACGGCTGAAAATTAGAGAAGCTCAAATGTAGCTTAAAGCTGCTTCCTTCTTGCCCCCTCGCCTCTTGTTGTGAGCCCATGCTGAGCAGCGGGCTGTCACACTGGATGCCCAGGGATGTCACTGCACACACAGCGTTTGCCGGTGAATTGGTTTGGAGTGACACTGTCTTGCTTTACATGACTCCTTGGAAAGGCAGCGGCACCTGAAGCGACGGCCCGTCTGCCAGCAGCATGTTCAGCAGCACCAGAAAGGCTTCTCTATCCTTTTGGAAAATGGAGAACTGTCAAAATTAGCAGCATGTATACAATGTCCTGCATGATCTAATGCAGTTTTAAAACCCTGAAAATCCTGGTTTACAATGGAAACTCCGACAGACCATCCAGTTTAATAGTACTTTTAGGCACTCTTGTAATTAAGTCTGCAACAAAATCTCTACAACATGGTACAGTAGCAGTTTCTACATACTCATATTGGGGTATAGAGATAGCTTCCATTAAAAGTGTCAGTAATTGAGTATTTTAAAACCTATGGAAAACTACAAAATTATACATGGAGAAAGTTCAAAGACAATAGACAAAAATGGTATCATTTTCCTTTGCAGAAAATATGAAAATATTGAAGTACATGCTGTGCATTCACAAAGTGAAATCATGGAAAGGGAGTGGTAGAGAAAGGAAAAGTGAGTTGTGCTGTTGTTACCTCAGCGTTTTTAGATAAATGCTGTTTATGCTGGGAAAAAAAATCTGTGAGGCCTTTTAATATGAAAATAGCAGTAAGAAACAACGAGCTTTTAGAGTGAGAAGGTGAAGCTTTCATGTGCACGCCTTGTGATGTAGTCTAGAATGTTTCCTCCAAGGTCAATACATATATAAATAAAGCATCTATAACCTATTTTAGGTATCTTAAAGGAGGAGCTTTGAGCTGAATTATTCACCAGTTATTCTGGTATAAATCCAGAAAATTGATGGTATTTTCCCATGTTTATGGTAGAAAAATTTAGAGATTAATTTCACTGCATTTTTGATAGGTTTGTCTGAAAGTTTTAGTCTGAAGAGTTTTTAGATGAACAAGTTATTAAATCCCAAAGGTGTGACTGTGGGACTAACCTTAAATCTAATCATGGTACCTGTCATTTCTGAAATATAATTTAAGAAGAAGAGGCCGTTTTCCTTTCCCTGCTTGCATGTATTCTATTTTTTTTTAATGATCCCATCGTTCCTTGTGCTCTGGTTGATACATTGTACATTCACGTTGATTTTTGGGGTAATGAGGAGGCATACTTGCAGCAGGGGGCTAATTTCAGCACCTTCTCCGCAAGACTTCTGCACGGTGATGGGAGCACTTTGGTAAAGGTTCCCTTTGTGTTTCAGATGGCAGGGCTGGCCTCAGCACTGGTTGGGAGGGACGTGTCAGCCCAGTGCCAGTTAATTCAATTTGAAAGTGGATAAACTTAATAGGTCCTTGTGGAGCTCTGTAATTTCAGTGACCACAGCAGAACAGAACGTGGGCTACAGAGCCAGAGCCCCCTGTGCCCAGTGCAGAGACTCTAGTGAGTGCCGGATCTGGAGCAGAGCGGATGTTTTGTGTGGAATAGGCAAGGCGATGTGATGTGGTGAGAGCTGTGCAGCACGGGGGGACCCGGAGGGCTCTCGGCAAGGGCCCAAGCCTCCTGTGCAGGTTGGATTGCAGAACAGCACTCGGTGTTGATGTGGGTGTGTAAACTGCCTAACGCCACTAGCAGGTCCAAATCCTCTCTATTCCACTTTAGTTTCTTTAAAAGGCAATTGCTTAAGTGAGGGCAAATGATAACAGAGTGTAATTTGATGCCAGTGCATTTTAATCGTTCTTTTATCGAAAGCTTTTGAACAATATTTTGCCTTTTTTTCTCTCTCTCTCATACACATATACAGTCATAACTTAATTACTGCACAAAGTTTCACTAAATACTATGTTGACTTTAAACATTTTCACATGGAATGGGAAAATCTGTAAAGTGATTAAAGAAGGTCCAAGTAATCTGTTGTTTGGACAGATATCTGATTTAATCTTCTCTTTTTATTTGTTTCTTAGTGGAATGGAGCTGTTCAGAAGACTTTTGTCCTTTGGTTGGCGAAATAATTATCGATAATCTTCAGTCTTTGAGGTGTACCATCACAGGCCTCAGAACAGTGAGTGTCAAATGTTTCATCTAGATCTCATTTTGCCTCCACCAGTGATGCAAAGACAGATATTTGCATCTGTGCCTGTTGGTAATAACTGCAGAATGCCATTTCTCTAACAGCAAGTTCCAGTCATTAAGCATAATAGGTCTGGTATCCATAATCTGGAAATCGCAAAGGAATAGACAGGCAGCATGAACTGTTTTATGAGTTGTCATGTCATGAGCAGGCCAGAAAAGACTGGAAGGGAAGGTGCTGTAGGCTGGATCATAGGATAGTCCTAGTGCAAATCAAACGCTCCTGAGTCCTGACTCTGATGCCCAGTAGCTAAGATAATAATTAATTCTCTTCTGTTTCTTCCAAGAACAAGATACATTAATGGAAGTCGTTTTTATTTTTGTTCTTTATTTTTGTATAAATGTTCTATACTGCCCAATGGGAGCTTACCTGGTTGACTCTGCGCTTGAGTTGAAATCCTTAAATTGAGAAGATAAACATTGAGCACAATATAAAAAGCTCCTGTCTAAAATAGAAAATATGTTTTTCTCCAATCTTTTATCTGAAGAAATCTTTAATTTGAAGCACATCATTGTTTTTTTTCAGGGAGCTATGCCATAGTATGTATTCCTCTGATTCTCATTTTCTAACAACAACACAGAGTAACTTTCATTAAGTTAAAAGCTAGCAAACTTGCAGTCACTTTCACAGGCACATATCAAGAACAGTGCAGCAGAAGATGTTTGTCCCCACTCTCCAAATTATATGACATTTTAGAATGAAAACCTAGATTTTTTACATGCATTCTCCACTGGCCTAGATTCACACGTCAAAATCAGTAATAAATGTCTGGCCAACTTTGGTGGCAGCCAAATGAAGCTTCTTCAGTCTCTGTGCTGGCACATGGACCCTGTTGAATACTACAAGGGAGAGGGGATTTTGTTATTCTTTATGCCTAAGAGTTCCCAGTGGTTTGCTTCGATAGAGGAGATTGCAGTTCCTCACTTGGAATTGGGGTACTCTGTTAAATCTCAGCAAATCACCTGTTCTGAGGTCTGTGAACTGTGTTTCAGTCCCTCATAAGGCATCTGTTGGCACACCTGAAAGCTACTCCAGAGGTTTGAAAGAAAAGAACTTTTGGAAAGGCAGATGTCTTGTTATTATAGTTAAGGTTTCAAGGCCAGCGCTGGTTTTGATGTCCGTTGTTTCCATTTGCAGGGCCAGAGGTATTATGTCCATGTTTCTGCATACAACATGAGAGGATGGGGACCGCCACGCCAATCTACTCCAGTATATGCTTCTCCTTCAAGTAGGTTGAGTTTATCTACCCTCCTAATTGGATTAGTGATGTTGCTTTTCTTCACAGAGTAAGCCAAGAATTCTGGAGTCTGGTAAATTTAATTGGCATGTTATTTAGGATAAATAAAGTAAATACAATTCAGTTCTGTCCTCCCACCAAAACAAGCAAAATAATTACATATGCATATTAATTTGCCTTTTCTTTTATTCTTCTTCAATCCTTTCGTGAACAATGTCTGTTTAGACACTGTTCAAACATTTTACACTTTAGTCAAGTCCAGTCAAACTTCACACTTTAGTCAAGTTTAGTCAAACACTTAGACACTTTACAAACACTTGAGAAAAATTAGAATGTTTTGACCTTAATTTCTCAAATTGAGTTCTGGTATTTCGAACTTGGTTTGTGGCATTATAGATAATAGCATTCACTGGCCATCTCTGCAAATGTTAGTTCCTGCTGCAGTTGGGGGATTCATCCAACATCAGCAAGTCTTGCCTTCTGGTAGGATGTAGCCCTTAAGCAATTAGATATTCAAGACATGTCCAAAAGCCTTCCTTCCTTTACAAACTTCTGATTAGCTGTCTCAGAATCAACTAGGACTGTGATTTGTCCTGCATTTTCTCATCTATGAAATCCCATTCTATTGTTAGTCACCCTTCTGGGCTTAGTGTTCACTAGCCTAGCTAGGCATGTTACAGCTTCCCTTGTATTGATTAGTGCAGTAAAGTGGGCATTTTTTTCTTTTTATTTTATTGAATTAGCACTTGTTTTTATTAGACTAATGTAACAATTTAATAACCTTCATTGCTAATGTGAGAAAATAAAGCTGTAGTGGCTCTCAGTAATGGTAACAGAGAGGGTTGGATAAGTGAGGCTGTTGCAGTACTATTGTCCTCTTTTGCTTCAAATTTTGTTCTCACATACCCAAGAAATTTATTAAAGAAATCTTCTATTTGGGAACAAAAATATGCTAGAGTCCTGGGACAAAATTCCACTCTTGATTATGTGGATGACTCACTACCATGAAGTTGTTTTGATTAACTCAGTGACATGCAATTACCTTGACTTTATGCAAGTCTAACTGCACAGGATTTGGCCCCACAAACCAAAAATTTCCATCAGCTGAGGAACAGGACTGTTTTACAGTAGTTGCCTGTTAGTCAGCTAAATATACCAAGCATCACAGGGCACTCCTGGCAAAATGAACGGCATTTAAGGCTATATCTTTGTATGATAAGAGATTTTGCTTTGAACCTATTGGAGTCTTCCCTGCCTGCTTCTTGCCCGCTTGCTTTTCAGAGTCTGACAATATGGGCCAGTTCCAAAGTTTGGGGAAGTAGGGAAATTTTACTGCAAATTTCAGTGGATCAACACAAGAACTATCTAGAGAATGAAGTTCATTTTCCCATGTTTAGTGTCTCAGGGATTCTGGGCTCTGCAGAAAAGTCCTAGACTAGTCAGAATTAGGGCCACATTGTCACATGCAGCTGCTCAGAGCTCAGGGAGTCCCTGACTTTGGGTCTTGTAGCATTCATTACAGGACTATGGAAGTGCTTTGGACCAGGAGTGTGGTGGTGGTTTCTGAAAGGTAAGCAAGGCAATAAAAGGAGTCTTGGATTTTCCTGAGGGAGAACAGGAGCATCTGTTCATATGTGTGGGAACTTTTGAGAGTTGTGGCAAAGAGCAGTGTTCCTTCATGGCTGTGTGTGTACGTGTATGTGTTCTTTGTTGGTGAACAGTGAAGCATTAGGCAGCCTTAGCTCTCCCTGCATATAGCTGGCAAGAATGTGGTGTTTTGATTAAGTATCCTTAGTGACACATGCTTACGTTTAACAGCAAGTGAGACCCTCAGAGCCTAAATGTAAATGATTTTTACTAAGTAATACTAGTATCACAATTTTAGCTCGGGCGACAAGATGCTATTTACTGATGCAGTTACTGGGGGCAGAGTTTATCCACATGGCTGCCTTCACCATTGGTTTTGAAAACTGACAAACAGACTGTGCTTGGCAAGAAGAAAGCAACCTGCAATTACATTGGTGTTGCAAAACAGAATGTGGCCCTAAGCTAAGAATTAAATGTAAATACATTAACAGTCTACAATAGTGTCATGGCAGCCAGAAGAATATGCAAGAGAAATGAAAGCTTCAGGGCTTAAACCTGGTCTACTACAATCTCAGCGCATCAGAGCTCAGTGGCATCTTTGGAAATGCATCTTTGCAGCATAACGACAGTGAGCACTTGCCACTGCCTGCCTGTTTCCCACACATGGACTCCAGCAGCCCCAGAAGCTGTTGCCACTGCTGTGCAGCTGCTCCAGGAAGTCGTGGAAGGCAGGAAAACATGTAGGCCCACTGATTAGCAAGGGAGTGATGGACATTAAAAGGGCTGGTCCGATTTCCAAGGCACTTGAAAGGCAGTCAGTAATCTAGAGGTTCAGAAAGCTGGGAGCCCTGGAGTTAGAGAAATCATGGTCTGAGTGTTACTGCTTACTCTCCCCAAAGCACTTTGGAGTTGCTGATTTCTGAATGATAGCTCTTGGCTGCACACAGGGGATCTGAGAACAGACCTCCCCACACAGAGCCGTGAGTGCAGCTGACTCTTGAGCTCTGCAATAGCCTGTGCAGGACAGTTGCTCTGCAGCTGTTGGAGTGCCTGCAGGCTGCCAGGGCAGCCCTTGCCTCCTCTTTCCGCCCATTCATACTGCTGGCACGGTGAGCCCGCTGGAAGGAGCGTTTGACTTGACCCGGGCTGTATGAGCCGGTGAGCGGAGAGCTTGGGGCGTTGACACAAACACGGCCACAGTGCCAGCAAGGAGAAGCAGGTCTGCTCGGCTGGCAGAGAGAGCTCCCGATCCCCCAGCCAGCCGCCACTGCTTAGGTTAGGAAACTGTGCTGGGATAGTTTTTTCTCACTATAATAATAATATAAAAACAGTCAAAACTGGAATTAGAAAACTCTCTGATATGCAGTTACATGTTTGCATGCCTCCAAACAGGGTTATCTGCTTCTGTTTTTTTTTTCTTTTTGTTGTTTTAATCAAGGTTGAGATTGTAACTAGAAACAAGGATGAAAACAAAGTGTTTTGTATGTTGAAGGGATGTGGGACGGAAACGGCAGCTTCTTGCCTCATGAGTGCAGTGCTGAGCAGACTGCAGAGCCGAGGGCAGCGATCGCCAGCGGTCAGTCCTCTCTGCTGGAGCAGGTTTGCCAAAGTGCCTCTATGCAGAGCCTGCCTGTGTGCCTGCAGAGCGGCTCTGGCCGTAGGAAGATGCTCATTCTCTGCTCCACAATGGCCTTCCTGTACAGCTGCAGGAGGGTCATTGGGCGTCCCGGTGCCCCCGGGAAAGCGGAGGCAGCAGTAACGGTACCTCCGTCACCTCCGCGAGGTGCTGCCGGGGTCAGGGCGGTGGCGGCTCCAGCAGCCCTGACACTGCAGGAGCAGAGGCCGTTTACGTGCCGAAGAGAGAGATGTTGTCTAGCCAGTCACTACAGGAGCTTCTGGGAGCTGATTGTGAGCTCTTTGTTAGCAATCATTATGATTAATTACCTCTCTGGCATGAGGCAGGGGAAGCTTATTGTAGAAGTAACAACAGCACTCTTAAAAACAACTGCCGTTTTTTGCTGCATGCCCAGATATATAAGACTCCTCTGAAGCCAAGAAATAGCAGCGGCAAGAAAATATTTTTAAAACCCTCTCTTGCTCCTTTGTGTTTCATTTCTGTTTATTTCCTTTGTTCAATAGACTGGAAAGACTGCAGTGGAAGAGAACCTCGGCACAGGGGACACACTGAGGCCCTGGAACGTCTCCTTCAGCAGGTTCGAGCAGCTCATCAGCATTATAATTGCAGAGGTAAGGATAAATATCTATGTGGTAGGGCACCAGCTGAAGCCTCTGTGGCGCCTGTAATTTTAGCAGTTTTGTAACTAGGTCATACCTTCTCATTCATCAGGAAAAGAAAGATATTAATATTGGCCCATCTGGATTCACTTTAGTGCACTATCTTGCTCTTAACCCTTGAAATTAGTTGGATGAAAACATCTGCAAACTAGAATGCACACAAGCACAGACACACCCTCCCTCTTTCTATACTGTACACACCTATTGATTTGCCTTTTTTCCTACAAATCATTGTCTCAGAGGATTCCACTAAAATGTTTCAAGGATTTCTCTTTTGTTTTTTTCATATAAAGAAATACTTTGAAAAGTTAACAACTGCCTTGGATCAAAAGAGGGGACTTGGCTGGCTCTAAATGGAAGTCACTGAGTATTCTAGTGGATATGATGCCAATGTATAATGAAAAGTAGTTGCACAGTGCAGTGGGAAGGCGCAGTTGCTACATTTGCAAATAGAATGGACAAAAACTGGGAGAGAATACAAATCTCAGCCAGTTCTTTGCTCTTCATTCATGAGAAACAGACTGTGCATTTAATATCTCAAGAGCCAAGGCAAAAGCTTGGCATACTTTCTAAAGCCTATATAAAAACTCCTGTTCTATACGGGTTGTTGAAAAGTTGCTATTTATTTTCTTAAAGTAAACTCCTAACTAGAATAATGCTTTGTGGCAAAGGAACGTATTTTAAACTGAAGAGTTAAATTACCATGAAGTTTTCTTTTTTCTTCACCTCGTATGACTGTTATATTCCAAGTTGCATCAATTGATTTAAATTCTTAGAAATATTTAGGACTGAAATCATCTGGCTGTAATGGAAAGATGCAGCCTTTGTTCTTTATGTGCAAATATGTCACAATCATGATGATCCACAGTCTGCCACAACCCATTGTAACCATAGCAACTTAAACTATTCAGCTGTGTTGCTTGGAAAGGGCAAGGAGATACTGCAAGAAAATGTTGTTTCTCTAATTAAAATTCATACAAACATTATCACTTGCAGGTGGTCTTGGTAGCACAGATTCAGATGATGTTTTTTATTTCTTATATAGGTTTTTCATGCTATTAAAGAAGCTGTTTTCCGTGGTACAATTTTCCTTGTGTGAAGTTAGTACATATAACAAGTCTTTTAGGCCACCCTTCTAGTTAACAGGGAACAAATGATGGAACATCTGAGAATATCCTTAGTATAAATTGTTTAACTGACATACCAGGCCTGAACAGAAACAATTATTAAAAAATAAAAAGGCAGAAAAGATTATGATATCAGTGCTTTCTGCTTATAAAATTCCTCTTCTCTAGAAATTAAGTCTCTCTAAAAGCAAAGTACAGTCAGCTCTGTAACTGATCTTGTAGCTCCTTATCCTAAATAATCCATAGCAACAATATAGAAGATCTGTTTATCTCAGAACATTTTCTTGCATGTAAGAAACAGGATCTCTGAAGTTATACATGGCAGTACTACATTGTGGAGTGAGTTTGAGCAACACCCTTGCCTCCAACCAAAGAAAAATCTCATAATTCCTTGTAATATAGCAGTGTAGTTTGAACAAATCAGGATTGTGCCTCTGAGACTTCCCTGAAGGATATGACTGCTGTCGATCCCTTGTTTTTCAGTAATTTGCTAAAGAACCAAGACAAATGTTTTGCAGAAAAAAGTAAGAATTGTAACATCACTTTGACTCTGAAATTTGATGCAGGAATTTATCAACCTCAGCAAAATCCGAGAAGTTTGATTGAGGATCTGAGATAGGCTATTGTGTCTGACTGACAAGCCCTAATAATGGTTTTCACTTAATATAATACAGAGGTCAGGGCTAGATTCTTAGCGAATGTAAATTAACATGATTGGACTGATGTGGATAGAGGTCAGCATGAATTTGCTGTTGTGCGCAAGTTGAGGACCTAGCCTGGTGTTTATCCAGTCTTTACTGTGCTTCTGTTTGGTATTCTGTATATAATTTTTTTTACCTGTTTTCCCCGTTTGTTTCAGAGATGTAAGTAAATACCTGGGAATTGCTTGTGGGATGTCTTTGAATGTGGTTGTAGTCACTGTTCCTGATAAATAAGAGCAGAATCGAGCCTTGCGCTGAGTAAACAGTAGGATGCAAACTAGGTGATGGCAAGGACAGACTGAAACCTTGGCACCGTGGCGTGCCCCTTGGGGGGATATCGCTGCTCGGCTGGCAGGAGGGCAGAGCAGGAGGAGCGCAGAGAAGGGCAGCGGGACCGGGAGGGCGGTGGATGTGGGAGCTCTCAGGTGCTGTGGTAACGCGGGGAAGGAGCCGCCAGCGCAGGGACAGCGCGCGAGCGCTGCGGGCGGCCCGGGGGTTACCCTGCCCGCAGCCCACGGATCCCGGCCTCCAGGCTCTCCATCCAGGCTTCGCGCTGAAGCCTGCTGGTTTGCCCTATGCTTTGCATTTCAGAGGCTGAAGAAAAGCTTACAAAAATACCAGGAAGAACACGCTGGAATGTACAGTGAGTTTAAGAGCTTTCGGAATTAGATCAGCTGTTGCTTTTGAACCTGCTCTGTGATACCATGAAATCTCCTAGGGAATTACTTAGGAAGCTTTGCTTTCATATGTTTAATCTTCTGGAAAACCCTGATGATTACAAACAACACTCATCCATTTGTCTTCATAATACCGTGCTACAGGCTATCCAAACTGAGTTAGTACAATTGTATGTCCTGGCAACATTTCAAATGTTTTTTTTTTTAAGGATTTTGCTTTTTCTTATTGCGCATTCATTCTAAACAATTCTGAGTGGATTAAGCAATTGTATGATGCTTCATTAAGAAAGGAACCCAACTCTTCACTAAAACGCTTACCAGATATTTTCTTTCTGAAATGTAGTTGAAATGCCTTTTACTAGACAAGTCAGGAATAACTAAAAATGCTGTAATTGTAATTTGATTCACAAGCAGGCCACATACTTTGGTTACATTTAACAGTGAGGAGGATCTCTGATTCCATGTGGCATTTGAGAAGTTTTGATTATAATTATTTGTGAAAATATACATAAACAAGACTAAGAACCAGGCCACAGACTGAGAATTTCAGGTAGGGAATTTAAGAAGTTACGGTATCAGCTGCAGAGCCTGGCTTTGCAGTCCCCAAAGCACCGCCCGGTAACATGATTGTCTTGCTCCTAGCTTCTGCACGAGGTGCAGGATTGCCTTTGAAAGACATCCCATCCTGAGCTGAGGTAATATGGAATATATGATGATCTCAAGTCATAACAGTTACTGGGGTGTCTGCCTGCTATCTATGTCCTTAATTGAGTTTGAATTTGTCTAGAAGCTTCAGTTATTTGATCTGTTTTCAGAAAGTTAGGCAGTTAGCAAAATACCCCACTTTATGCCCTCCACCAGGATTTCAGAGGGATCTAGCTCGCCTTGTGCTGCTTCGTTTCAGTAGTCAGCATCACCCTAAATGATATTTAGCCGTTCCACCGACTGGCAGATCTGTGGGGCTAGAATCCCTCCTTGGGTCATTTTGCACTGCTCTAATTCCCTTTCCTTCCCATTTGCCCCACTTGAGGAGAGGCACCCGCTTGTCTAGCGGCAGGACAAAGCGCTGCAGACGCTGGTGGAGCCGG